CTACTTAAGTAGCCAGTTCTTAAAATAGATACTTTTTGCTGGTAGTCAGAACGAAGCTCGTTAAAAAGCCCGCATCCTATCGTGACGGAATAAACTCCAGAATAGACTACACGATAATCAGTATCACAACCTGAGTCAACTAATAAACTTCACAATAGACCACACGATAATCAGTATCACAACCTGAGTCGATACTGATTAGCGAAAGAGTATCGATTTTTCGCCTATGTCGAAATGTTGCGTGAACTGTGGCGTCTACTGTACTGGAAAGTCTTTACTTTTCTCAAAAACGACAGTGCGCCTTATAATCCAGAGTGCCTTATATATCAATTCTGGTTAGTGACCTCGAAGCGATTTTGTGTGGTATTCGGCGCTGCGTTAATTCGTAGTCAGGAGCGTTGCGGAGTAATATATACTGTGCTTCACTATAATATTAAAATGTGTGTATGGAGCCCAGAATGGCACCTGTCGAGAGACCCGCCTATGACACGAACTTCAAACTGAAGATTATCAGTCACGCAGTAGAACATGGGACCAGAACGTCTGCGAGAAAATTCAAAATCAATGAATCAATGATACGGAAGTGGAGGAAGCAAGAAGATGACCTGTACCAAGTAAATAAGACCAAACAGAATTTCCGAGGGAAAAAGCGAGATGGCCACAGTTAAGGGACAACACTGAACAGTAGGTTATTGAACATAGAGCAGTAGGTGTAAGTGTCTCTACAGTCTCCCTTCGAATGAAGGCAACAACTTAACCACGGGAAATCAATATGAATGACTTTCGAGGCGTTCCTTCTTTTCACTTGTGTTTTATGAAAAGACGTGATCTCTCCATCCGCATACAAACTATCGTCTCATAACAACTGCCGAAGGGTTATGAAAAAAAAGCTGGCCACTTCGCGCGCACTGCGAAAACGAGATAATTTAAAGGAACATTCGGCCAGAGTACATCACAAGCATGGACAAAGTTCCCCTCACATTTGGTATCCCCGTGAACCGCACTGTAGAGAAAACGGGGAACGAGAAGTCATCCCCCAAAGTAGTTCTCGGTTGCCAGGCCAGGTCTGTGACTGCTTATTAGTCTGATTTGGGTGTCTGTTTGTGAAACTCATTTTAGTGTCTGTCACCTAGATATGCACTGAACTGACGAGGTTTTCTAATTTTCTTCGCAGAGGTCACTCCGTTTTATCATCAAGGTGGCTTATTAGCATTTTTTCCAGAAGTGTTTTTCGATGTCATCTGCTCATAAGATAGCGTCTGCGATTCAGATGCATTAATTATGTTAAGCTAGCTGCCTTGCGCTCCCCCAATTATTGCGTTGGCACAGACTATTTTCACTTTCCTAATCATTGTCTTTGCTACACAGATCTTTGAGAAAAAAATACGAAATAGTGCTTTCCTGTCCTTAACTGTGGTACTCGTAGGAAGTAATTCCGTAAGCATCCCAGCTCTAATCATCGGCCGCTCATTTTCGAT